GATTAACCAGAAGTGTACACTAATTTTAAGCACCCACGTTGAGATGCCTATGGGCTGATTCTTCAGAGTACTTTATATAGCACTTCATATGTTCAAATCCCTGTGTATTTTTAAAAAGTAATTTGTGATCACACACCACTGAAGAGTAGCATCTAATTAACTGTACATGGCAACGCAGAGCAGTGTCTATTCTATACTATTGTGCTGCAGGTTATCGCCATAGTATCTGAGCACCTTCCAGTAGTCCATTAAATAACATGACTACTATCTGTCAGATGTTTGTTCTCTCACCCTCTTCCCAAGGAGAAAATGTGTGCAATGGGATATCTCATTAAAAAATTAAAAAAAAACAAAAAAACAATGCACACACAGAGCTCTCTCTTTATTTTAAAGAAGGTGCGGTAAAGAAATGGGGCTTCCACTTAGAGCAAAAAATGGTGAGGTTTATGATAGTCTCTACTTTCTGTGGGAGTTCATTCCACACCCTCACGCACAGACAAGCTTTACCCTTATTGGAGCGAGTTCCATTGTTCCAGGGGAGCAAAATTGTTGATTGCAGTCTTCATGCTGGAGGTTTAGTTGATCTTTTAGATATCTTCAATGCCCTCCATCACCTGGCCCCAAGATGAGGACTGAGATCTTGAACTTGACTTGATATTCTATGGAAAGCCAACTTAGGGAACAGAGGATAGGTTTGATGTGTTTGCAGTAGCCTGATGTGTTACTGAGATGTGCTGTAGCATTCTGTACCATTTGGTGTTTCCTAAGGACCAAAGGCTTCATGCCTAGGTATATCACATTTCGGTAGTCCAGCCAAGGGGTGATGAAGGCATGAATTACTGAGGCTAACTCATTGTTCATCAGAATGGGATGGAATCTCCTAATCAACCAGAGATGGTAGACAGCATTGCTCATGGATGGTGCTGTGCAAAAGCTTGGTGTCAGTGAGGAATCTAGGAGCACTCCTAAGTTACAGACTAAATTGTCCAATTGTGGGTGTGTCCCTGCAACCAGTGAGGACTGCATCATGGCTGCATACTCTACAAAACGCTTTCCTCTGCCCACCACCATCTTCTCTCTCTTGCTCTGGTTCAGCTTCAACCAGCTGGTCACCATCCACGAACTGATCGCATCTGAGCACTGGACCATCTTGGCGATAATAGTGTGATCGATGTGGTGAGGGATAGGTAGAGCTGAAGGTCATGTGTGTATTGTTGGCACTTGAGTCCTTGTCATCTGACCAGTTCACTAGTGGCTGCACGTAGATATTGAATAGGACAGAGGAGAGAATTGATATTTATGGTACTCCACAAATGAGAGGTCTAGTAGTGGAGGTGCAGTTTCCAATCACTAATCATTGGGCGCATTCCTCCAGGAAAGACTAAAACCATTTTAGGTCACGGTAGGATAGGAAGTGAAGAATACTGTATATCAATCAGACAAGAGCCACGAGAATGATGAAAGGATTGGAAAATATGCCTTATAATGACGGACTCATGGAACTCAATTTATTTATCTTAACAAAAAGGGGTGACTTGATCACAGTTTTAAACATCTAACAGGTAACACAAAATGGTAATGGGTTCTTCAGTCTAGCAGACAATGTATAACAAGATCCAATGGCTGGAAGTAAAAGCTATACAAATTTAGACTAGAAAAAAGGTGTACATTTTTAACAATGAGGGTAATTAACCACTGGAACAACTTACCAAGAACTGTGGTGGATTCTCCATCACTTACAATTTTTGAATCAAGTTTCCTTAAAAGATATGTTCTAATTCAAATAGGAATTAATTCAGGGAAGTCCCATGAGCTGTATTATACAAGAGGTCAGACCAGATGATTCCTTCTGGCCTTTTAATTTATTAATCTATTTATTTAAACTACAGGGAAATGTAGTTTTAATACTGTACTTTCGCAGCAGTGCAAACACTGTATATGTTTCACTGTAATTTGCACTGAATTTGTTGCAATAAATTAAGAAAAAGAAATGTAATAAAATGTTGCACCTACATAGCACTTTTCAGCCCACAATGGTGTGTCAGCAAATGTTACCATTATTTTACAAATGGGGAAAAGTAGGGGTCAAATTGAAAATCAAAGGTAGTGGTACTCTTCCAAGCTCCTCCCACAAACCAATTCCTGTCCACAAAATAAGCTCCACACACTTGAAACAGAAGACGATGTTGTCCGGAAGTAGATTGTGGAGATATTTAAAACATGATCATGCTAGGCTGGCTCCCTTGGATTACCTGAGCTTGTTTCCTTTTTGGGGAAAAAATAAATGGTGGAACTCTCCCAAGTTCCATCGACTCACAACACTAAAATGAGATATCGCTCACACACTCCTTTGTTACATGCTTTGATCAGTAGTGAAATTGTTAAATTAGTTGATGTTTAAATAATACATTGCTGAGACCCTGAGTTAACACCACTGAGGATCAACTCAGACTCCTCAGACTTATTTTTTTATGTTCTCGCAAACTCAAACAGACGTTGCTGCATCAGATGCATTCAATTCACTTTCTAAAGGTTTCCTGCGCAACATCGAAGGCTAGAGATTTACTTTTTTAAAAACAAAAGCTTCTATTCTAGAGCACAAGGTTGCAACTTGGGAGAGTAACACAGTACCACTGCACACCTTCAAATCTGAACACTGAGGAAAACTGTAAATGGAAGTTAACTGGCTAGCTTAAGACCACATAGCAAGTTGTGGGACAGAGCAGAACAGAGAACTCCTGAGTTCCTCCCCTCTATTCTGCTTACTAGATTACAATATTTCTATTTATATTTTCATGCTTAAACCCATGTTAAAAGTTGCATGGTTATATTTTAATTCAAAATATTCCTAACTTTATTTTGCAAATATGAGAATATATGAATTTTAAAAGAATGTAAAATTTCAGATTCAAAATCAATTAATTTTGATTGTGAGTGTATTTCATGAACAATTAAAAAAAACCATACTTGAGTTTTCTTAAAACTCAGACATGTGGTTCATTTTTCACATAAGTAAAGTGTTCAAAATCTAATAGCAGGAACTACTTAGATTCATAAAGCAGTGCTTTATTTGTTACAGCTGTTCTTTTATGATATCTGAACCCAGACATACATTTCTTAGTTTTGCACCGGGGTCTGGCATAACAGGCAGATATAATTAATTTTAGCAATATGAAAAACTGCATCATCTTGGAATTCATTCTTACAAATGGTGGTGATGCTGAGTCACTTCCTTTGATAATTTAGGCAATTATAATTATAAATTTAATTTATTATGATTTTTCCTAAATATTATCTACCCCAAAAGAAAGGAGATGGAGGTGCACAAAGATAGGTTGTGTTGGTTCTTGTCTCATTTTAAATGTACTATAAATCAAAATTAAAAAAAAATCAGTTTACATTAGTTTCATGAAATGTGACCTGCAAAGGTTTTTGTTTGTTCGTTTTGCAATTGGACTCATGCTTTATGTTTTCAAAGAAGTCTGAAAGGTGTATGGATTTTTTTCCTGCCTATTTTTTAAATGTTGAAATATTGGAAATGTCAATCTACTGAGGCCAGGAAATGCAAATTGAAAGCATAAACAGTAATTCTACCCCTTTATTCATATGTATTACAATTTATGTGATCACATACTCCTTTTTAAACAACACACAATGTATCATATATATTTCTATAATATTAGGGCATGATTCAGAAAAGCATTTAAGCAAATCAGGAAAGTACTTTGCTGAATCAGGCCTTGGATACGCAGGTGTAGCAGTTTTTAGTATGGTGTTCTACTCTGTGTATGCAAGACAGAGTCCATGGAAGTTATTTCTATATACTTAAAGAACAAACATGCTACAAATCAATTATAACAGATTTAATAAGCAGCATTATATAAATACTTACAATTAGAACATTAACTCTTTCAATAACTACATTACTATTAATATTTCACAAATAAATCAATGAAAATATATTAAATATAATTAAATACTGCGAATCAGCAAACATACATATATTTCTATGTCAGTTTACAGCAGAATTCCATGTTCTTGTACTTGTGAAGTCAGAAATATATTAACAATTTTCAAAGTAGTGTGGAAATGAAGGTTCCAAAAAAATTCTGACATGAATGTAAAGAAACATTTTCTTTGAAAGAATCCTAAACTAAGTCCAGTACTTAGTGAAAGTAATATTTTAACTTTATTGATCAAGGATAGGCCATATGAAAAATACTCTCTAAAGCCCCAATCCTGCAAAGACGAACTTTCTGTCTTGAGAGCAGTCCCACTGATTTTTCACAATGTGTAATTCTCTATAAGGTTAGAGCATGAATGTATAGTACATAGGTGGGCACAAATTAAAACGCATAAAAATCACAGAAAAGCCAATATATCATAAAACATACTCTATCAGCATGATAATTAAATTAGTACATATTTTCATTCTTTTCTACCCATTAATGTGATATTTTCCCATTCATCTTAATCCCTTGGGCCTATTATCAGGACTGTTTTATTGCTGACCCTCATATCAGAAACATACATTTATCTTTCTCCCACCTATCTGGCAGCACACAATAGTTGAGCCAAGAGTGACATAACATAATATTCAGTTCTTGGAAAAACAAAAGCATAAAATGGAGAGCACAAGTATTTGTGTTCCAGCCTATGGGAACTAAACTCTAGTTAAGATTTACCCCATTCTAATTTATTTTTTCAACTACTTGAAATTACAGCAGGTTATTACTACACATTTATCTGCAGCAGACATCTCTGTAAATCTTTCTCCCTTAGAGAAATATATGTCATTCTGTAGAAGACATAAGTAATATTAGCCTGTTATAAGCTTTTCAAAGTATTAGAAGATGCTGGGATGATTTATCCTGTAAATCTTGAGACTCAATTTGTGAATTTGAAACTGAGCAGAACACAGTTATTTTGGAACATTAGCAACACTTCATCTTCATGTGACAGATATGATCCACTCAACAGATAAGTGATTCTGCACTTACCTTTGAAACAATTCTCTTTAGGTCCTGTGAAGTCCTGCTAGCCAGCTACTAATAACTGAGATGCCCCAAATGCAGCTACCACAACAGTAACTTGGCTGGAGCAACACAGCCTATCGGTTCGGACATATATTGTAAATATGCAAAAATATTACATAGTTTTGAACAAACAGCATATAACTGCTTGGGATATAAATAATAAAATAACTCTCAAAACAGCAAGTTGCTTGATCTTAGGTGCAGGTTCAAATACCCAACTAAACTAGCGTAGGTCACCGATGTTAACTATGTCATTGCCGCTCCGCGATCATTCCGTGGTACTGCACGCGCGAAGGCATGTCGGTGCCCGGGGGTGGCCCCAGCACTCACTGGCCCCAGTCTGAGCGGGGTAACCCCGCGGCCGGAGGGCAGCAAAAGCCCCGCCCTGGGGCTCCCTGGCGCAGCAAGGGCGAGCTCACGCGGCTGCGGTGTCTGCAGGGGTCGCGCGCACAGCTCCCCGCACTGGTTACGCGGCGGCCACCCCGAGGGCGAGACGCGCGTGTTCCGGCCGCTGCTGGGGGACGCGCTCACGTCACTCTGGGAGCTCCGGCGCTGCCTTTGCCTCCCCCGCCCGGCCGCACACAAGCTGTGAGCGCGCGGCACTCGGGGGCGGAGCCCGGCCGGGGGCGGGGCGGGCTGCTCTGCCCTACCGCTAACTTAGTGCGCGCGCGCGGGTCCTGGCTCCTCCTCCCGTATCCCGGCGAAGCTGCCGCGCTCCTCTCGCGAGAGTTGAAGAGAGTGCGCCCCCGAGATATCCGGGTCCCTCCCCGCCGCCCCGCGCTGCTTGGCCCGGCCGGAGCCCGGAGGAAAGATGGCGGTGGAGTCGCGGGTCACGCAGGAGGAGATTAAGAAGGAGCCCGAGAAGCCCATCGACAGGGAGAAGGTATCGCGGGGCGGGGCCGCCCAAGGGCGCTGCGGGGGGAGAGGGCCGCGCCTGGGGCCGGTGCTGACGGCCTGTGTTTCCCCCTTGCAGACGTGCCCGCTGCTGCTGAGGGTCTTCACCACCAACAACGGGCGGCACCACCGCATGGACGAGTTCTCCCGCGGCAACGTGCCCTCCAGCGAGCTGCAGATCTACACCTGGTGAGCGCGGCCCTCCCCTGGGGCCAGCCGCGCTTCGAGGCCTGGCCTCTCCCGAGCTGCAGCTCCCGTACAGACCCGGCCGCCTGGGCTGTTGTATTCTCACCGCTGGTGAGCTGCTGGGCCGCAGCACACCCACAAGCCAAAACTGCATCCAATCTGCCACGCCCTAATCTGCCAGAGAGGGCCTTGCACTGTACTTGTAGGCATGTGTATTTTTATTAGAAACAACCCGTGGCTGTAATAGCTAAACGTAGAAGGAAGAAGGCTGATGTTGTCCTGCTATGATACTGCATCGTGTGCAGTCCTGATGACTGGGAATCTCATGCCTAAAACTGGAACAAAGAATTTCATATGTAACTTAACTAACTATAGGCCATTGCTAGAGATTCTGTATTTGATGTGTCAACTGACTGCCTCAGACTTTCAAAGAGCTATATGTTGGAATACTCTTCATTACTTTGGTGTAAATACACAATACAAAAGACTTCTTACTTTAACATTCTTGTACATTTGAAATTCTTTATTCCAAAGTAGGCCTAAACATGACTTTGTCTTAAAAGCTGGTTGTTTTGGCTGCCTGTAGTAACTAAGGCCATGTCTGCACTAGCACTTATGTTGGCAAAACTTTTGTTGCTGAGGTGTGTGAAAAAAACACACCCTGAGTGACATACATTTTGCCATCATATGCGCTCATGTGCACAGCACTATGTTGATGGGAGACACTCTGTTGCTGACATAGCTACTGCTCATTGAGCTGCTTTTATTATGTCAACAAGTGAGCTCTCTCCCATCTGTACAGAGCAGCTACACGAGCGATCTTACAGCTGTGCCGTTGTAAGCTTGTAAATGTAGACATGGCCTAAGTTCCATGTCTCTTGAAGACTACCAAAAAAGTTATCCCAAAATGTTGAGTATTGTATAGAAATTTTTGTGCTGTGATGTGCATACATTTCATGTGTGCAGTTTGAATGTGGTATTTTGTGTATTGTGGAGAAGGTGTTCTCTCTGGTGGCAACCAATGTTCTTTATGAAATTTTTTTAGTTCCTTAAGTTTAGTTTGGAAAACTAGTTTGGCCCCAAAGTTGCCAGAGTTACTCTTCAAAAACATTCTTATTTGTCTTCAACATTTGAAGAATGTCAAACTTAGTTATGTGTTGCTGATGCTGACTTGGGAATGAACTTGGTCTAAAACTTCTTTGTCTCCAGGTACCTTGTTACTACTCCAAACTTCCCATATAGCAAAATTTCCTTGTGCATCAATGACCTAGTTGACTAAACTAACTTTTGCTGTGAATAGGTTGGAGGCCCAGTCCTGCTGTATTAATTTTAATTGGAATTATCGACCCAAACCTGGTCATTGATGTCTGGGAAACTTTTGCCTTCAGCAGAAGCCAGATCAGGCTCAGTCAACACAGTGCCCTCTATTGACTGGTTAGAGCTAGAATGAACAAAAATTTTTTTTGGTTTTAGTCCTGACTGTAAAGGTAATTCTGTCTCCTGTCAGGTTAGTAACCATGATCTTATTATAAGGCTGACTTTGACTTCCTCTATCATGTGTATGTACATTAAAAAAGCTTTCAAATTACAATTTATTACTTGGAGGCCTCAAATGAGATCAGGGCCCCTCTGCAGTAGATACTTTGCAACTACATAGTGATGATGGGTCCCTATTGTGAAGAATTTACAGTCAAAATAGACTAGACAAAGCATGGAGGGGAAACAGGTACAGTGAGGTGAAGTGACTTGCCCAACATCATAGTAGGTTAGTAGCTGAACCAGGATTAGAACCCAAATCTGAGTCCCAGACCAGTGCCTTATCTACTAGACCATTTTGCCTCAAGTGTTTAATTGGTGTCTTATGTCTTCAGATGTTTAGAGTAAGTCCTTGCTGACAACAAAAAAACATGCTCAGAATGTTTTAAATAACTGAATTTTTTTAGATTAAATACTTTAAAAATGGATCCTCATTGAAGCTTGTGAAGTGACTAACATGAAATATGTAGTACACGGAAATACAGAAGTATATAAAAATCTTACACTGCCCAAATGTGAACTATATATTTCCTTGCTTTTACATGCTGGTTTTGTAAGTGATAGTACATAGTTAACAAACAATTGTCACTTATCTTAAATGAGGTTTGAAATGTTTATATATTTGACAATAATATGAACCATCCTGATGAGTTGTAATGTCTTTCTTTTTTTAAATCTAGGATGGATGCAACTTTAAAAGAGCTGACCAGTTTAGTGAAAGAGGTCTACCCAGAAGCACGGAAGAAGGGCACACACTTCAATTTTGCAATAGTTTTTACAGAACTCAAGAGACCCGGTTATAGGTAAATGACATTTCTTCTCCAGATTCATAGAATATTTCAGTCAGCAGAGCTGTAAACTGTTTTTCATCAACACTTATTTAAAGTCTGATATCATCTGAAATCTAGTCCTAATAAAGAGAGAATTGCATGGTGACTGCAATGCTTCTAAAGTTTCTTTTGTTCTTCCCAAAACAACCAACATGTGTTTGCCTAATCTGCTGGTCACCTCATAGGCAACCACCCAGGATATGTACCTGTAGCATACAGTGGAAATGGAAGGCTTGTTGTTTCAGATGGTATGGGGAGTGACTAGATCCTCTATCTAATAAGTGCTTATGATTAGGGCCCTACCAAATTCACAGTCATAGGATTTTTAAAATAGTAAATTTCATGATTTCAGCAATTTAGATCTGAAATTTCGTAGTGTTGTAATTGTAGGGGTCCTGACCCAAAAAGAAGTTTGCGGGGGTGAGGGGGAGGAAGGTCGCAAGGTTATTGTGTCGGGGGGGGGGAGGGGAGGAGGGGGAAGGGTGTTGCAGTACTGCTACCCTACTTCTGCGCTGCTGCTGGTGACTGTGCTACCTTCATTGCTGGGCAGCTGGAGAGCAGCAGTTGCTGGCCGGGAGCACTGCTCTGAAGGCAGAGCCACTGCCAGCAGCAGTGTAGAAGTAAGGGAGGCATGGGATGGTATTGCCACCCTTACTTCTGCACTGCTGCCTGCAGAGCTGGGCCCTGAGTGAGCAGCTGCCACTCTCCGGCCGTTGAGCTCTGAAGGCAGTGCAGAAGTAAGGATTTGCAATACCGTGACATCCCCCCCTTAAAATAACTGTGAACCCCCTGCAACTCCCTTTTGGGTCAGGGCCCCCAATTTGAGAACCCTGGTCTCTCCTGTGAAATGTGTATAGTGTAGGGTAAAAGCACACACAGGACCAGATTTCACAGGGGGAGACAAGATTTCACGGTCCATGACATGTTTTTCATGGCTGTGAATTTGGTAGAGTCCTACTTATGATCTTGGGACTGATATTTCTGTCAATGGTCCTCTGTTAACCAGTGATGTAGGCATTCACTCCTCAGTGACCAGTTAAAGAGCAGTGAATGTGTCCTGCTATATCATTTACAGTGTTTTCTTTACTAGTTTTGTTCCCTTTAACTTGACAGTTTTTTCTGAGCTAAAATTTAATGTAAATTTACATAATTGTTCTATCCCGAGTTGTACTGTTTCTCTAGTGAAGACAGCATGTGGAGTGTGAGGGTGCCACCTCTGTATTCAACTAGTTGAAGACAGCATGAGGGGGAAAAAACCTAAAACCATTCACTAGGAGGTTATATTTGGGCCTTAAATGAGTTTAGAGAGAGGTGGACTCTTTGCCTCTAATTATTAATTTGCATTTCACGTCCTCCCTGCAGGGTGAAGGAGATTGGCAGCACAATGTCAGGCAGAAAGGGCACAGATGATTCCATGACTCTGCAGTCTCAGAAGTTCCAGATTGGAGACTACTTGGATATAGCAATTACTCCTCCAAATCGTGCACCGCCCCCATCAGGACGCATGAGACCATACTAAGTGACAAAGTGTCACTTTGTTTAAAACTGATCACGTATATTTCCCTTTGATAGTACTTGCTGCTTGAAACAGGCTCTTTTTTGTTTTTATTGCTAAGCAAGAACATCTGAGAACACACTTAAGCCTTGGAAACATGGGTTACTTTTAAATCTTTATTTTACTCTGTTTAGAAGAAAATATCTTTTAGCAGCTTCATAATCCTTTTCATAGTAGTTACGGTTTGAAAAGTAGGAATGTTCAGTGTTTCACAGTCTCTAAAATATGAGCAGCATAACATAGAAGTGTTCTTTTCTGTTAGAAACTGTCATGTTTGGAACAAATATATTGCTATGTCATCCAAAATTTAGTGTCTGTTTTTAAAGATTAAATCAGGTCTGCGTAATAAGTGTTTAATTAAACTGTTAATGTCAGGAGTTGTTTCAACAAATTGTTGCCTCTAAAATGGGGAGTGAAGCTTTCCCTGAATGACCCTGTAACTGACTCCTTTGTGGGATGAATGGAGTTAATGTGGTGGTAACTCTGCAAAGTCATAAGAA